TGACATGTGCGACTATGGAAACAACTTGGCTTCAAACGGCCCAAGGATGTGATTGCCAAGGCACCCGCAAAGCACCCGTAAGACACCCCAGAAACACCCCCTAAATCTCCCCCCCCTCAATTTTTTATGAAACACAGACCCTTGAAAAATGCGAAACGTAGTATTGAAACCTACATATGCGGAAACGATGTTCTGCACTAGGCGATCCGGAAACTCATGTTTGCGTGCTCCGGCCCGCCCGGATTTTTGCAAACAAATACACGGACTTCCCCCCTTTTCGTAGGCTCGCAAAACTCTGTAGTGAGCAGCGGTAAGCGTTAGCAATGTTCCACTTTTCAAAATATCAAAATTGTTCGATTTCGGCTCCGTATCAATGAATTTATTTTGTAATCGATGTCAAACGGATCCTTTTTGTGGTGGATTACAAAGGGATTCCTTTTATGGTGGATTACACATGGATTCCTTGTGTGGCGGATTGCAAATAATTTTCTTTGGTGTAGGATTACACATTGATTCTTTTTGCGGCGGGTTACACATTGATTCCTTTTGTGGCGGATTACAAATGGATTTCTTTCGCGGAAGATTACAATGGGATTCCCTTTGTGGCTGCTTACAAATGGACTCTTATTGTGGAGGATTTCGAATCGATTCCTTTCGTGGCGAATTACACATTGATTCCTTTTGTAGCAAGCCCAGCTGGTAGCGACCCAGGTCCCAACAGAAAAAAATAAATTACTCACTTCGTGGAGCTCCCCATATGTGCATCTCATGTTTTATCGTATGCCGTAGCGAGCGTCTGTTCATGGGCGTTTGACTCTAATAGCCAGTCCACGTTGGCGACAGGCCCGACGAAGACGAGTGCATCCTGATGCGAGTGAGTGAGTATGAGTCAGAGTGCGCTGAATACGATTGAACATGAGCCTCTTCATCTTCACTCCCCCTCCTCAGCTGCCAGGCCGTGCCCTCCTCAGCCTGCGGTAACTTCGGAGCTTCCCATACGTGCGTACTCTTACTCCTCGTCCTCCTCCTTCTCCTCCTCCTCCTCCTCCTCCTCCTCCCCCTTTCCTCCATCCCCAAAATTTGCTATGAAAACCAAGGGTGTTGAGCACGAAAACGAGCAAACCGCCTGAAACGTCCCCACGAACTGGCCGCGAACGGGCCCGTGATATACCCCCTCGCGGCTCCTCTTAGGGGTGTTGAAACCAGCGCCCCGCCTGAGACATCCTCACAATCTGCTATGACAGCCAAGGCTGTTGAGCACGAAAACGAGCAAACCGCCTGAGACATCCCCACAAACTGGCCGCGAACGGGCCCGTGATATACCCCCTGGCGGCTACCCTTAGGGGTGCTGAAACCAGCGCCCCGCCTGAGACATCCTCACAATCTGCTATGAAAGCCAAGGGTGTTGAGCACCAAAACGGGCAAACCGCCTGAGACATCCCCACAAACTGGCCGCGAACGGGCCCGTGATATACCCCCTGGCGGCTCCCCTTAGGGGTGCTGAAACCAGCGCCCCGCCTGAGACATCCTCACAATCTGCTATGCAAGCCAAGGGTGTTGAGCACGACAACAAGCAAACCGCCTGAGACATCCCCACAAACTGGCCGCGAACGAGCCCGTGATATACCCCCTGGCGGCTACCCTTAGGGGTGCTGACACGAGCGCCCCGGACCACATCTTAGGATATGGGGTAGAACTTTGAAACCATTGAAAATTGAAGAAAGTATGCGGCTCTCAATCGTTTTTAAGGTTTGGTGCCATATATAAATATATGTGTATATATATAAACGCAACAGGGTCAACCTCCTGGGGGCCCAAGCCATATAAAAAACACGCAGCATTTTCGATACCAGATGTATGAAAATTAAATGTTTGTATGATTTGGCCCCCCAGGAAAAAAGGGAAACTGCTGCGTTTTGTTTTTAAATATGTTTGGCACCAGGCTTTGAGAATGATTGAGGGTCGTATAATTTCAGCAATTTCAATGATTTAAATGTTTTTCTTTCTTTTGGGACCTGGGTCACCACCAGCTGGGCTTGCCACAAAAGGAAATGACTTTGTAACCCTCCACAAAAGGAATCCTCTTGTAATCCTCCACAAAAGGAATCCTCTTTTTGACCCGCCACAAAAGGAAACAGCTTGACACTCACGACAAAAAGGATTCCCTTTGTAATTCGCCACAAAAAGGAATCAGTTTGTATCGTGCCACAAAAAAATCAATGTGCGATCTGCTACACAAGAAGTAAATCAAGTACCAACAGATAAGAATCAACGAGAACAAACAAGTACAAACTAAGTAAACGGCCCAAAACGGAGGTGGTACACACACACACACACACACGCACGCACGCACACACACACACACACACGCACGCACGCACACACGCACACACACAAACACACACACACAAACACACACAAACACACACAAACACACACAAACACACACACACACACACGCAAACACACACACACACACACACAAACGCACACAAACACACACACAAACACACATAAACACACGCAAACACACACACACACACACACACGCACACACACACACACACACACGCACACGCACGCGCACGCACACGCACACGCACACGCACACGCACACGCACACACGCACACACACACACACGCACACGCACACGCACACGCACACGCACACGCACACGCACACGCACGCGCACGCGCACACGCACACGCACACGCACACGCACACCCACACACATACACATACACACACACGCACACACACACGCACCCACACACACACACGGTTTTATCAACCTTACGGGGGGGGGGACGGGCTCGGAACCTGAAGAGCCTGTGGTGCTGCATCTGAAGCTTGTTCGCATTCGGTCCGCGAGGCCGACGCCGAGTCTCGAGGGCCTCGAAGCAGATCTGAGCGCAGCTTGCCTCGGGGGCGGAGCTCCTGGGTGCAGCCTGAGACTCAATCCGTTCGACTGGCCTTTGGAGATGTGGTCTCATCCGAACGTGAGGTCTGTGCTCCAAGCTACCCGGGGTGTCCATGCGCGCGCCCTGGGAGATGCAGAGCAAGACTTTTGGCGAAATGACCACCATCTGGAAGGGTATTGGTGCGGAGCTCGCGGAAGCGAGGGAGGTGTGCGTCTGGCTTGCTGGTGAAGAAACAGTCGAGTTCGAAAAAATACTTGAGGGTAAGATGGCACCATGTCGCGCGTCGTTTGGAAGGTAGCCTGGAACCGATGTGGTGCAGGTCGTTCTCCCCGACAGAATCGAAAAGGTGTCGAGCGTGCTTGGAGGTGGCCGGGGAAAGCTTCTGTTTGTCATATGCTGGGTTCTGGAGGTCAGCGCCCGCGCGGGGGGTCCAATCTCCTGCGAAGATTGGCGTTGAACTTTGCGGCAATGCTGCGAACTAGTCGGTTGAGGTCTCTGACAAGGGCTGGCGCTCGAGAGGGTATCTGCCATGGGGGCCAGTGCATCTCGTGAACGTCGTATCGGCGTTGGCGATATTGAACGCGTGGGTGGACATGTAGATCGTCAGCTTTGCGAGCTTGAGCGGGCGTCGTAGCTAATCTAGCAAGTTGGGGAGCCAACAAGAAACCGCATCGACCCGCGCCAATGAAGACGAACTCCTCCAAGCGCGCAGTGTGCTCGGGAAGCGCGAGATCGCTCAGACTGACGATGCCCCGCTTCTGCTTGCGTGATATCAGCAGCGAGCCCTGGATCTTAGAACGTGAGCTCGGGCGAGACGGATCTAGAGCTTGGCAATTCCATGTCGCTTGGCGGAGCTGTTGGGTAAGATGGGACGCGTGGCGCGCTCGGTGCCGCCGACGTGTAGGTACACAGGCGCGCGCGCACTTACACTCACACACACACACACGCACACACACGCACTCAAACCCACCCACACACACTCGCACTCACACGCGCGCCCGCGTGCACACACGCATTCAAACAGACGCGCAATGCCACAACGACGCCAAAAACACAAAGGCACACAGACACAACGACACACACACACGCAGGCACAGCCACACAAACACACGAAGACACTAACACGCACAACGCAAACGCGTAACCACACAAACACATAACCACACACACATACACACGCACACACGCACGCAGGCACACACACAAACACACACACACAACACCAACAACAACACAATCGCCCACACACACGCACGCAAGCATACAAACACACACACACACACACGCACACACACGCACGCACGCACACACGCACACACACGCGCCCACCCACATATTCACACGCACCACATGGGGCTCGCCCCCTCGAGCGGCGATGTTATACCGAGACAGCCCGTGGCTCTGAGTCCTTCCGCCCCCTCTCCTACCTGAGGCGGCATGAGCACATGCATTCAACATTGTAACCCGAGGTCATGCCCATGGCCACGGCTGACCACGACTTGAGCGCGGCCCCCCCGAGGATATTTTTTAGCCCCTGACAATCGGCAGCGCCAGTGGCAGCCGCGGCCGCGACGCGCGGGCCCGCGGATGGACGGAGCACTGGAAAGAAAGGAACAGGGAGGGAGAGCGATTGTTCTCATTGCTGCCAGCCTGGGCACCAAGCGGTCAGCGTGTGCCCTCTGGAAGTGCAAGGGCTGTGCGCGTGGAAGCTGCGCGGTGGTGCAAGCTCTGTGGTGGATGGTGCGTGGCGCACTCTGTGTGGTGCGCGGGTTGCGTAGGTGGAAACTACGCGGCGGTGGCGCAATCTGCGCGGTGCAAGCTACGCGGCGCAACCCATGTGGCCCAGCGTCTGTGGTGGGCGCTGCGTGGCGCTATCCGCGCGGCGCAGCCCGCGCGCAGGGCGCCCGCGAGGCGCCCCCCCGGGCCGACGCGGGCGGCGACCGGGGCGACGCCCATCGCCGCCAACCAGCGCACGAAGCGCCCACGACGCAACCACTGGCTGGGAACGGGCGAAAGACCCTGAACACACAAAGCGACTCGCTCAGAAACCGAGAGAGAGCCCCGAGCAGTGAAAGCACCGCTTGGGGAGCAGGGCCAAGGAGAAGCACGATCGACGGGCCGCAGAGCGCTGCGAGGCGCTGGGCCCAGGGTCGCTAGAGTCTGCTCGCGCCGGGCCCGCGGCGGCGACGGTGACGGGCAGCGGGGCCTCTGGGGTGATCGCCCCGTCGGACATCGGGGAGACATGCGTGTAGAGCGGGAAGCTCGCGTAGACCAACGCGATGAAGGCCGTCGTGATGTAGCCGATGTGAATCGCCTTGTTGTGGAAGCGCTTGGGGATCTCGAGCGCAGGCGCCGGGGCAGCCTTCTGCCAGCCAAGGCGCATGTGCGTGGCGAAGATGGCCCCGGCGCTGCTGTAGAAGAGGCACCAGCCGAGGGACTGGAAGACCTCGAACTCCATGCGGTAGATGTCGCGGACGCTCTCCTTGACGCAGTCGGCGTCGTGGACCCAGAAGAGATTCAGCCTCAGCTCCAGCAGGGTGGCCACGTTGATGAGGCACGGTGGCGGGCGCAGCTCGAACGGCTGCGCGTCGCCGAAGCGGAACTGGAAGAGGTGGGTGCCCATGAAGGTCAGCAGCGTGATGCCCGAGATCGCGAGGTTGAGCTTGCCAGAGGCGATGGTGTAGTTGATCGAGATGTCCCAAGTGCGCTTCAGGCCCACTGCCACGTGGAGCAGCGCGGCGAGCAGGATGTACTCCTCCACGATGTTGGCGTTGAAGCCGAAGCCCGTCCAATAGAGGCGGACGTAGAAGTGTCCATATCCGTTGAAGTCGTCCGGGCCGAGGAACACGCGCAGGTTGCCGACTGCGTGGATGATGATGAAGATGAACATGAACATCCCGGAGCGCGTCAGGCCAATGCGGTCGTTGGTGAACTGGAAGTTCTTCTGGCCGAAGATCGTGAAGAGGACCTCCTTCATGAAGGCGATGACCATGTAGACCAGCGCCCCGATGGGCCCCGGGACGCGCCCGTACTCGCCCATCCTCTTGTTGCGGTTGTCGTTCGCCAGCTTCCAGTCGCGCGCGCCGTGCTCTCCCGCCGCGGCCGCCGTCGCTGCCGGGGCGCCGGCCGCCGCGGCCGGGGCCGCGCCGCCCCCTGCGCCGAGCACGCCGATGGCGGCGTCGGGGGCGTACTTCGGGATCACGTCCGGAGGGTGGATCATGTTGAGCTCCTCGGTGGCGTCCTTCCCGGCGAACGCGAGGATGGCCAGCTCGCCTCCGGGGCGCTGGCTCAGGAACGAGGTCACGTCGAGCACCTCGCCAGCCACGACCACCCAGCAGTCGGTCTTGCTGGTGTGCTTGGCCACCTCCTCCATGGAGTAGCCCTTGACGCCGCCCTTGCCGGCGGGCGCGGCGCCGCCCTTTGCCTTTCCGCCCTCCGCGCCCTTGTTCATGCCATCCTCGCGCGAGCCGCCCGCGTTCTTGGGCGCCGTCACCTCGCCGGTGAGGCCTCCGCCAGAGAGGTCCTTGAGGCTCACGGGCTTGCAGTCCGCGCCCAGCATGCACTTGGTCGCGGCGAGGCCCGCCACGCGGCCGAACACCACGCAGTCCAGCAACGAATTGCCCCCCAGGCGATTGTTGCCGTGCACGCCGCCGGCGACCTCGCCGGCCGCGTAGAGCCCTGGGATGGCCTTGCCGTTGGTGCCGACGCAGGCGGAGTCCGTGTCGATCTCGAGGCCGCCCATGCAGTAGTGGATCACTGGCGTGATGATGGCCACGTAGAAGGGCTCGCTCTTCACCGCGGGGCCGTCGATTACGTTGTGGTAGAACTTCTGTAGTAGGAGGGAGCCACACAAGCAGGGCATAGAGAACCAAAAACGTGAACACAAGGCTCATGTCCTGCTCGTCCACCTTGGACTGAGCTAAAAACTCTTGCAAGAACAGCATGGTGAAGAAGCAATCGTTCAGCTCGGAGAAATACACCTTCACCGTGTCAAGGAAAAAGGGCCAGTTCTGACCCAGCGGCGCCAGTAAGACCAGAAAAACACATGTGCTACGAATCCAAAACGTTGAGAAATCAGCAAGTCCGTGCACTTCGTGTGGTCGTCGGCGTCGCCGGGCCTGTGTCCGAGCCGAACGTGTGCCGGCCTCCCCAAAGTAGAAGGCGGGGAGGCCGGTGGGAGCTCCCCAAGCCCGAAAACCGGAGCTGAGCTCACCCCACCGCGGCCGACCGGCTCCACCTGCACTCAAGAAGCACGCTGGCGCCCCCGGAAGCTGTCCCAGAGGTCCGCCTCCGGCTTGCCCTGGAAAGAGCGTTTTACCTCCAGCTTCACCTCAAAGGCCGGGTCAGCTGTAAGCCGAATGGCGTACGCGAGTGCCTCTTTGATGGACTGTGGCATAAGCAACTGATTCATGGTCAAGGTCCAAAGCCATGTGCGGCCCGACGCTGGATTGGGAACTTTCGCCACGAAGCCCGTGAAGAAGTTGTCAAGCTCTTCCCCACCCAGCTTCGAGAGGGTCTCCAGCGCCTTGCCGCCCTCCCTCTTGAGGTCCGTGCTCGCCTGAATCGTCTCCTTGGCATTCGTAGCAATCTCCATGAGCCTGCTGAAAAGAGCGAATAGCATGAATACTTTCTTGGGGCCGAACGGGTGCTTGTTCGAGGAGGCCTCTGTACCGTCATCGGTCTTCATGGCCTCTTCACCTTCGTCGGCCTTCCGCTTCTTACGATCGTTCTTGCCCTTTCCCTTCTTTGATCCCTCAGGAATCTTGGCAGCCCATTTCTGTGCTAGGCCGTGGAAACTCTCGACCTCTGTGTCACTTTTGAACAGCACTGCAATCTGGACCGAATCCGCAACTGGCCGAAAGTCCTGTCGCAGGTACAGGTGGTCGCGGATCAGGGTGTTGAGCACCTCAGTGTCGTTCCCGGCAGCAGCCGGCCTCGGCCTGGCCTGCGCCTTCGGCGCTGGGGCCGTGCTCGTGGCCTGTCCCAATGCCGCCCGAAGAGCTGCTTGGTCCATGGCCATGCAACAGGAAAGTCAAGCGAAAGCTGCCGACGCCGGGCGTTTGGCAGCGGATTTGCCCCGATGCTGGTGCTCAACAATTTGGGCCTCATTCAGATCACATTCATGATAATGATTGAGATCAATTGCCAAACCATGCATTTCTCGACGAACCTTACAAAACTGGCATGACGTGCTGACCCCCTTGCCGTCGTAAATCTGGTCCCGCAGTGTTGACGCGGATGTGACGCACCTTCAACTTCATTACAATACCTCGTTCTGGCAAGCCACATCTGGTACGGCATGTGCATGCATGTCTTCATGTGGATTGAACAAACACGCGTTTCAGGAAACACCACCTTGCACCAAGGACATTTTTCGAGTCGATCGCCTGGTTGACGGGGAGGAGCAGGAAGATGGATGAGGTCCGTGGGTTTCTTCTGACAGACGGCCTTGTACGTATCCTTTCCCTTTTCCTTCCGAAACTGAATCCGAGGAGGCTGTCCTGCAGCCGGGGGAACGGGAAGTGCACCAGGCAAGCGTCCCAGGAACTTCTGACTGCCACTCTTCCCTCGCATGCGTAACCTTCCGTTCTGCTCTGTGCTTCCTCCCCAACATGTTTCAAATTGATTAAGAACATGTTGCTCTCTTCCTCCACCTCCTCCTCCAGCTTCACCACCCCCACCAGCATCACCACCTCCACCGCCTTCTCCTCCTCCATCTCTACGAACTGGTGCAAGAACACGTGGAACAAATGTAGGTTGAGAAACTCTGTGACGTTTACTCTGCTTGCGGAAGGCGACGGCCTGGTAACAAATTGGCGCTTTACGTTTACCCCTCAACCTCCTCCTCGTGGCCAACTCCTCCTTCGAGTATACCGTGGGCTGACGTGCTGGACCCCCTGAGGACCGTCCCGAAGCCGGTGCAGATGCTTTGTGAAGGGCAAGCCGGATGGCGTCGAGCTCCGCCTTCCTCCTCTTGGTGGCCGGGGCGGCCTCTTCCCGTCGAAGTCGTTCCACGCGATGGCGAAAAGCTTTCTCACGCTGTTCTGGGGTCAGGCGGCAACAATGGCCCATGTGCTGAGCCAAGGTCTTGTGAAAGAAAAAGCCAGAGCAGTGAGGGCATTGACCTCGTCCCTCTGTGTCGATCGGGATGTTTTGGACCATCTCTTCTCGCTCTCGTCTGCGTGCGTGCCGTACTGTAGCCGCTCCCTCCGGACTGCGGCGTTCGGCCCATTCATCTTTAGAAGCAAGTTTGAGAGCATCCTTCCTCCATTTGGCAATCATCCCTCTCCACCTCCTCCTGTCCTGTGCAATTTCCAACCACTCTTTTTGCCAGGAAGCCTCCGGGGCCCCCGAATACACCATGATTGACCGAATACGTTGCCACAACTGATATCTAGTGCTTGGAGAAGGACCATATTTAGAACCTTTAGCTGCCGGTAATTCGTGTTCTGGACGCAACCACCCTTTTAATAGCTTAAACTCCCACCTTTCTTTACCCAGCCTGGCAATATGTCCCACCCATCGTAGTTGACGTAGAGAAATAGTAATATGCACGGGGTCGAGGCCGAGACGACGACGAAGGTCTTGCAACGTAAGCTGGTTGGTGTGCATTTCCCTCCTTTTCGTGGCCGTGGCTCCCATCAGTACCTGGTTGTGGAACTTTTTGATCTGCTTCATCTCCAAGTAATTCACTGGACGGGCTTCCATTCCATAGAAAAGAGAAGATTCCACCGTAGCCTTCAACGCGCGGCCCCGGTCCTTGTCCGACAGCCCCAACCGGGGAAGTTGCTTCAAGACTTTGGCAAAGATCCGCCTAGCAGCCTGTATTCTCTTGCCGGTATCAATGTTGTGCTTGCCCGTGGATTCAAGCCATCCTCCGAGCAACTTGATTGCTTCCTCGTAGGTCTGGGCCGGAGGAAGAGGATCCTTTCGAGCTTGTTTTCCCCGAAGTCGACGTTGTACTGAGTATGTCCTTTTGCCTACCGTAATTCTTTCCAATTTGCCCATATGTATTTTTTCCCCCCATTCCTGCATGAGGCGTTGTGCGGATTGTTCAACCTGTGCTAGTACGGGCTGGCGACAAAACAACGACGTGTCATCGGCGAAAAGCAGGTCGACGAGCCTCTCGGTCACCTTAGGGATCCTAGGGGGGTCCCGACGTTGACGACGGCCTAGTAACTGCTCTGGACTCCACCCAATGTTCACACCCATATCCTCCCCGAACATGTCTAAAAGCTGCCGCCTCACATCTGTCATGACGTTGGAGTGGTAGATGTTGAAGCACACCGGACTGCTGGGGCCCCCTTCCCTGAAACCTTTTTCCAGCTCGAAGCTCCTAGACTCCCCCTCTGCCGTGCGGACGCGGTACTTGCAACTGCCATGCAACCCCTGGATCAATTTGCGCAGGTTCTCTGGGACGCCAGCCCTCCGAAACACAACATCCGCAGCAGCACGAGGAACAGGCGGATATGCTTTTTCAATATCCAGAAGCAGCAATACGAGGGCCGGGACGACCTGGGCCTTAACCTCCCCCACCTCCGCGGCCATCTCCAGGACGCATCTGGCAATGAACAACGGGCCCATGGTACTCCTCTCGCCCCTGAACCCCCATTGTGTCTCTGGGAAAAGGCCCCGGGCTTCCGCATGTTTTTGTAATCTGTCTGCGATGATCTTGCTCAGCAGCCTAGCGATAACGTTAATGAGCCAAAGGGTCCGATAGTTTCCCAGATTGCCCCTGCCCCCCTTCTTGAAGAGCCTGAAGCCAACCGCGTCCGCCACTTCAGCTGGCCATACCCCCGGCGGCAAGTCCCACAAATACCACGCTGAACGTACCAGAAGATTTTGTCCCCGAGGTCCCAACACCTTGAACAAGCCCACGCTGATTTCGTCTGACCCCGCCGCGCTGTCTTTCATTTTCCTGAGAGCCCGAAGAACTTCCTCAGCAGACGGAGTATCCCCCAGTGTAGGGTCGACGGCAACTTCTGGGCAGCCTCTCGCAATAGTCTCCTCTGTGACGACGGCCGGGTTCGAACCAAGCGACTCCAGGAAGTCTGCGATCTGTTCCAACGTATGCGGCTCCTCCCCCTGCCTACTCCTTCCCCGTACATGTATACTAAGTTTGGGTAGTAACGCATAAAAGGCACGTAGATCACCACGATTCATTGCATTAGTAATTTCCCCACATAGTTGTCGTACGTATCTAGATCTAGCACGCCTTTTGAATTGCTCCCACTTTCTCTTGGCCTGGCGGAACTGGGCACGAGCAGGCACCTCTGCGGCCGTGTGTCGACTTGCCGCAATGGTCCGCCAAGCCTTTTCCATCTCAGCACGGAGGTCGGCAATTCGGGCTGCATCCTCGTCTGTGTACGGCGCCCCGAAGCACGGCTGAAGACGTCCCCTCCCCACCACATCCGTAGCCACCTCCCGGATACATCCGCGTAGTACTGACCAGGGGTCTGGAGCCTGGGACGAGGAAGAAGATGAGGAAGAAGAGGGCCAAGGTCGATCCAGAGGTAGATCTGGGAGTTTTTCTTCGACTCGTCGTTGTATAAGTCGGCGTCGCATCGATGTTGTTTCGCTCTTCCCCCGAAGAAGCCCCACATTGAGTTTCTTTTGTTGTGTCTCCAGTTTCTGTCTTTTTTGGCACTCGATCGCAATAAATTTGGCTCGTCGCTGTCGTCGCTTTGCCCTCCCCAAGACAGTGCCCAGATGTAGATGATAAACACGCCCTACATGATCCGATATTCGATGACGATTTTGTTGTCGGATGTGTTGAATACATCTGCTATGTGTGGTCGAAATCAATAGCCCGTCCAACTCGTACCATTGATGTGTCTGAGGGTGAATCCACGTGCCTCTCTGGGACATAGAAAGAAAACTATCTGCATGTGCCAACGACGTCGACTGGAGAAGAGCTTGCCATTTTTGTCCCTGCTGGGGTTGTGGCCGTACTCAGAGCGCACGGTCCGGAGTGGAGTCCATCGAACTGCCAATCTGCACAGCGATGTGCATTGAAGTCTCCACCCCAAAGTTGCACTCCTCCCAATCCACTAACATGCTCATGAAAATGCAATACAGTATTATGCCAAGACTTGAGCTCAGCAGCGCGGACGCCGGTTGGTCCGTAAAAACTGACCGCATGTAGCTTCTCGCCCGTCTCGTCCTGGAGTAGGGCTGCCACCAAACGATCTCCTTCGCAGTGCCATTGGGCTCCGGCTCTGTCAAAAGCTTCCCGTGCAGTCGGACCCAGAAGTAGTGCTGCTCTTCCACTAGACACCAAGAGAAATTCTTCCAAGTAAACGAGGCAAGGGGCCTCACCATGCAGTTCTGAGAGAAAAGCAATGTCCCAGCGCCCCTTTCGTGCTGAAGTGAGAATGTGGGCCAGCTTATCTCGATGTGCGATCAGTCGCCAATTTAGCCCTTGGACGTTCTGTACAGCCGCCCGCCAGCTATCTGAAAAAGTGCGAGATGGTGGAGCCTGTCGTCGACCACGGTGGCGTAGACGATTGGCACGGCGCCGAGTGTGTATGAAATCTGCCCCATTTTGAAGTGTAATCACACTTCTCGACGTCCACCTTGCTTCCTTGCGTCCAACTACCGGGAATTCATTTTGCCCCGAAAGGCGGGGTCCGTCGAGGTCCCGGCGAAACACTCGGTGAACCCTGCATGCCTCCATGGTGGAGGCGCTGGGGCAAATCTTAGCCTCACCCTAGAACTCTCGCCCCCCTGGGGCGGTGTAAAAACACAGAGAGTAGGGGAGTGCCACCTTCGTGCCGCTCTCCCATACCTTGAACATAATCGTCTCGAACTTCAGGAGAATGAGGCCTTTGCCAACGAAGGGGTAGAACTTCTTGCCCGAACCCGTCTTGCCGCTGGCCTCGTCCCAAGACTTGCCGCTGGGGTAGGCGGGGAATGAGCCGCCGTCTGGGTCCTTCTCGGTCTTCTTAGCGGCCTCGAAATGCTCCTTGTGAGTCTGCTCCAGCACGGAAACGGGAACGCCCATGTCCTTGGCGAGCGCCTCGCCAGTCTCGTAGAACTTCATGACGCCGCGGCCAGTGTAGTGCTTGCAGTGCCATGGAGAAGCTCTCGAAGGCCAGATTGCACAGGTTGACCAAAACTCCAGGAGGGAAAAGACCATGTGCTTGGCCGAGCAGCCGCAGTAATTCTGGAAGATGAACAAATTCATGGCGAATACCTGGGTCACCCCGACGGCAACCCCAGACAGCAGACAAAGTTGAAGCCAAGGTGGATGTGTAATCCCAAAAACTGGCCAGGCCGAGGCCTGCGGGCTGCCTGGGGGCCGCCGAGGCGGCCGGGCACCCCTCGGGTAACCCGAGGGCTCCCGAAGCCCGAGGGGGCCTAGGTCATGCATACTGTCGGTCACGTCGATCGCGCTAGCTTCCGTCGCTGCCACGTGCACGAGCCTGCTTCTGACGAGGAGGTCGGTCCTCGAGGTCATCCAGCATGGCGTCACCATCTGTCTTGGATTTGCCCTTACCCCCACCTTTGCCTGACATGCCCTGCACCAAGGGTCCGTCGATGGAGCGTTGGTGGGCCATTCCGACTGCATCAAGGCGAAGAGGAGATGCAGAAATACGATTGAGCGTGCGCAAAAATTCGAAGTCGGCGAGGTTGGACGGCATGAGAGTGAACACCCAGGCGAAGTTCTCCTTCGGGTCAGGATGGCGTGCTGGCTTGAAGCGGAAAATCGGCTCGTCCAGGTTCTCCAGAGAGAAACCCTTGAGCTTCTCGAGAGGCTCCCTGAGGTCCGAAGGCGAGGGAAGTTTGCTGAGGAATATGGCCACGAACTTGGCGAAGAGAAGAGCACGCTGAGATCCGAACTCATGTGGGGGAAGTTTAGCAGTTTTGTCCGAAGTAAGAGCAGCTTTGTGAGCATCCTTGCGCTCCTTGTCCTTGGTGCGCCAGCCTTGCCGGAGGTTACGTATCTGGTTCTTGGAAGATTCATCTTTGAAGAACACTGCAAAGCAAATCCTGTCCTGAAGCTCGTAGATGTCGCGCTCGTGGCTGGCCTGCACTCGTTCCAAGTTGCGAATTCTGTCTTCCAAACTCGTACTGGGCAGGGTCCGATCGCGATTCCTGCGAGAAGCGTCCACAGGAGTCGCATTGGCGATGAAGGCTTCGGCGGCTTCCAGCGCCATACAATAGCAAAATAGGGATAATGCCAGGGTCAGTCCACTACTGGCAGCCCTGCTTGAACCCGTCTATGGCGACATACCACAACATGAGCAGCACACGCACGTACACTTGGGAAACGATTCTGGCATTGGGGACACATAGCAGTCCAACTCGATCGTTCGGTTTCCGTAGCTTTCCGATTTGCTCGATTCATGTTGAACTTCAGCCAAACATCATAAGGGGCCGATACACAATTATATCGATGCATAGCATATGGTATTTCCAAAGCAAAAGCGGCATCCGCGAGGCACCACGGAAGAAGGCGAACATGCCAGGGCAGCCTTATCAGAGCGTCGTCGCTCCCGTCGTGCAAACTCCCCTTCTCTGTCCCCGCATTATTTTTCCTCCCTCCTCTTTCTCCGCGTCTTCCCCCTCCTCCTCCTCCTCCTCCTCCTCCTCCTCCTCCTCCTCCCTCCTCCCTCCTCCCCCCCTTCTCCCTCTGTTCCTCCTCCTCCTGTTTATTATCCTGCTGCTCCTGCTGTTGGAACGCGTTCGAAGCAGAAAATCGAGGCGGGTCCAACCGTGGCCTCGCGAAGCTTCCAGAGGCCCGAAACGACCCTCATGAATGTACAACTGAAATGTAAAACGCAAGACCGATAAAGCACCCGCAAAGCAGGTACAGTCCAAACCACCCACAAAGCATCCGAACGACACCCTAAAAACTCCCGCGAACCGCCCACACCAAATTCCAGGAACAAATACATCCTCGAACAATGCTGCATGTGTTATTGAAGCGTGCGACAACGAAAAACAACGCTTTGCCCAAGGGACCCAAGGATTCGCCAAGGCGTCCGCAAAGCACCCGTAAGGCACCCGAAAGGCACTCGCATATCGCCCACACCAGTTTGCAAGAAACACACCTTCTTGAAAACTGCTACACGTGTTATTGGAATTTGTTTCTATGAAAACGGTTGGGCTTCAAGCGGCCCAAGGACATCATTGCTAAGGCACCCGCGAAGCACCCGTCACGCACCCGAAAGGCACCCGAAAGGCATTCGCAAATCGCCCACGCCAACTTGCAAGAACAAATCATGTTCTTGAGAAGTGCTACACGTGCTACTGAAACTTGCGACTATCAAAACAACTTGGCTTCAAGCGGCCCAAAGATATCATTGCTAAGGCACCCGCGAAGCACCCGTTACGCACCCGAACGGCACCCGGAAGGCACTCGCAAATCGCCCACGCCAATTTGCAAAAAAAACAATTCTTCTTGACAAATGCTACACGTGCTATTGACATGTGCGACTATGGAAACAACTTGGCTTCAAACGGCCCAAGGATATGATTGCCAAGGCACCCGCAAATCACCCGTAAGACACCCCAGAAACACCCCCTAAATCTCCCCCCCCTCAGATTTTTATGAAACACAGACCCTTGAAAAATGCGAAACGTAGTATTGAAACCTACATATGCGGAAACGATGTTCTGCACTAGGCGATCCGGAAGCTCATGTTTGCGTGCTCCAGCCCGCCCGAATTTTTGCAAACAAATACACAGACTTCCCCCCTTGTCGTAGGCTCACAAAACTCTGTAGTGAGCAGGGGTAAGCGTTAGCAGTGTTCCACTTTTCAGAATATCAATATTGTTCGAATTCGTCTCCGTATCAATGAATTTATGTTGTAATCGATTTCAAATGGATCCTTTTTGTGGTGGATTGCAAAGGGATTCCTTTGATGGTGGATTACACATGGATTCCTTGTGTGGCGGATTGCAAATAATTTTCTTTGATGTGGGATTACACATTGATTCTTTTTGCGGCGGGTTACACATTGATTCCTTTTGTGGCGGATTACAAATGGATTTCTTTCGCGGAGGATTACAATGGGATTCCCTTTGTGGCTGCTTACACATGGATTCCTATTGTGGAGGATTTCGAATCGATTCCTTTCGTGGCGAATTACACATTGATTCCTTTTGTAGCAAGCCCAGCTGGTAGTGACCCAGGTCCCAACAGAAAAGAATAAATTACTCACTTCGTGGAGCTCCCCATATGTGCATCTCATGTTTTATCGTATGCCGTAGTGAGCGTCTGTTCATGGGCGTTTGACTCTAATAGCCAGTCCACGTTGGCGACAGGCCCGACGAAAACGAGCGCATCCTGATGCGACTGAGTGAATCTGAGTCAAAGCGCGCTGAGTACGATTGAACATGAGCCTCTTCATCTTCACTCCCCCTCCTCAGCTGCCAGGCCGTGCCCTCCTCAGCCTGCGGTAACTTCGGAGCTTCCCTTACGTGCATACTCTTACTCCTCCTCCTCCTCCTCCTCCTCCTCCTCCTCCTCCTCCTCCTCCTCCTTTCCTCCATCCTCAAAATCTGCTATGAAAACCAAGGGTGTTGATCACGAAAGCGAGCAAACCGCCTGAAACATCCCCGCAAACTGGCCGCGAACGGGCCCGTGATATACCCCCTCGCGGCTCCCCTTAGGGGTGTTGAAACCAGCGCCCCGCCTGAGACATCCTCACAATCTGCTATGACAGCCAAGGTTGTTGAGCACGAGAACGATCAAACCGCCTGAGACATCCCCACAAACTGGCCGCGAACGGGCCCGTGATATACCCCTCTGGCGACTACCCTTAGGGGTGCTGAAACCAACGCCCCGCCTGAGACATCCTCACAATCTGCAATGAAAGCCAAGGATGTTGAGCACGAAAACTGGCAAACCGCCTGAGACATCCCCACAAACTGGTCGCGAACGGGCCCGTGATATACCCCCTGGCGGCTCCCCTTAGGGGTGCTGAAGCCAGCGCCCCGCCTGAGACATCCTCACAATCTGCTATGCAAGCCAAGGGTGTTGAGCACGACAACGAGCAAACCGCCTGAGACATCCCCACAAACTGGCCGCGAACGGGCCCGTGATATACCCCCTGGCGGCTACCCTTAGGGGTGCTGAAACCAGCGCCCCGCCTGAACCATCCTCACAATATGCTATTGGTCTGTGTATGAGCAAGTCTGGGTATGAGCAAGTCTGAGTATGAGTAAGTCCGACAAGAGGTGGGGACGAAGGAGGAGGAGGTGGAGGAGAAGAGGAGGACGAGAAGAGGAAGTAGGAGGCGTCCAAGTAATTACTCACTGCGTGGAGCTCCCCATCTGTGCATCTTTTTTTAAAAAGGTAATATTGTATATGGGTCTACAGGAACACACGTAAAACACCAAGGACTCGTGCCCCAGGAGAGGCCCAATATATAGGAGCAAAAATAAAACAAGTAGGATTGCTTACACAGGAGAAGGACAATATATAGAAACATACGTAGAACATCAAATAATAGTGCTCCAGGGGCGGGTTGTACATCAGGAACAACTGAACGAAAGTTAGAACCTGGGGGAAACGTGAACATGGAGAGGAGGAGGAGGTCGAAAAACAGGCCGTAAAAGTCGAACATCGGGACGAAGTCGCTCGGATGCCCTAGGCTCTCTTCAACACCTCGCAATCCTCTGCCATCTGCGCCATGGCAACGAGCCCCATGCGGCAGACGGCCACCTGGAGCTCCGCTCTGCGGGCCGCGGACGCGTGAGCCGGGAAAGTGATCCATCCCGTCTTCAGCGTCGCCCGCGGCTGGCGTGCCCACCAGCCAGGTGGGATGTGGTACGCGTCGTTCAGCTCCTGCCGGAAACCCGCCAGGGCGGCGCACTCGGCCACGTAGTGGCGCGCACTCGGTCGATGGGGGCCCCCGCAGGACGGGCAGGCCGCCGTGAGATCGGGCCTGGTGGTGCTCCATCTTCTCGTCGGGCTGCGTGTCGCTCCGCAGCGAAAGATCTTCAAGTGGATCCTGTCCTCCAGGGTCAGCGAGTCCCGGAAAGTGGACCACGCTCGTGCCGAGGAGGCTTCAAGGTCGATCTGGTCGACCCCCTCCGAGTCGTGGCGAGACGCGGATGCGTGGGCAAGAGCTCTCGCCCGGCATACTTGGCGAAGGAGGTGCGGCACCATCTCTTCGTCGCTCCAGAAGATGTGTCTGCGCCCGCACAATCGGCGAACTCGGACATCAGGCTCGTCCACCGAGCGTCGGAACTGCACTCCGCGCTCTGGGTCGTACTGCAGGAACTCGAAACCTATGGCATCGAAGAACGACGTGAAATTCACCTCGAGGAATGTACTCCAGCGGAGGTCCCAGGTGGTGATGCGATCGATGGCCGTGAGCACCGCGCTGAAGATGGGGTGCAGGTCGATATTCGAGGCCCAGAAACGGCCTCGGCACCACCAAGTGCACCTCGTCGAAAGCACCGCTGACATCGCTGCTGGGACGACGTCGGGTGGTGGCAGAGAGAAAACCGGGGAACACCAAGTCCACAACGGTTTAGCGTAGGCCCGGACCGCCGTGGCCCTGGCTTCGCTGCCTCGCGGGAGGCCTCGGATGGCGCGCAAGCACTTGCGGAGCTTGGTCCAGCCCCCGGCAGGCGTAATCGGCTCATCCGGAGCATCAGGGACAGCGAGGATGCCGATGTGCTCGATCTGCGTCCTGTCCCCTCGCTTCCAGACCTGGCGCTTCCCGACGTTCTCGATAGCGCCCGTGCCTGAGTCGAAGGCGTTGGTGGCCTGCGCGTCCGACTCCATCTGCGGGACGGAGTCGAAGACGGCGGACCTGTCGTCCATGAAAAGGAACTTGGTGCCGTTGATCTCCCAGGGGGAAAGTACGTGGCACAAGACCTTCGGCGCCGTGCTGTCCCCTTGAGCGAGGCTGCGCGTAGGCCAGAGTGTCTCACCGGCCAGCTCTCCCGCCACCTGGCACCTCCGAGGGCCCCGCCAGGCAGCGTTAGTCACCGCCCGCACTCGGCGTGGCGTCTGGGCGTTGCGGAGCGCCGCGTCTGCCACCGCATGCGGCACGTTGTCGTAGCACTTGGACAGGTCACGCTCCAGTCCGCACGAGCCGTGCTGGCAGGCGTGCAGCCACAAGCAGCAGGCGTGGACCACCGTGGAGCCCGCTTTGCAGGCGAACTGAGCGTCCTGTGGCGTGGGCAGGCTGGGCTCGCAAGCTGTGGGCCAGGCCCTGAGGAGCACGGAGCCCACCCCTATAGGCCGGGACTGCGTCGGGTCTTTCTTTGGCACCCCAACAACCCGCCAGGCGAAGAGGAGGTGCTGGAGCTCGGTGGTGGGCCTCTCGACCAGGAGGGTCTCGCAGGTGTCCCGCCATAGCGTGTAGAGTTCGAAAAGCAATAACTCGAAATGCTCGGAGATCAGCTTGAGCTCGCTGGAGTGCCAACCGTCATAGCCTGCGCTGCCTTTGGCCTTGCGCACGGCGACCCGGAAGTCGGCGTAAGAGGGGCACCACTCCTCGTCGTAGGCGTTGGCGGTCTTCGGCAAGGGCTCGTGCGCCTCCGCGGCGTACTGCTCCCACCTGGCCGCGCACCTCTGCTCGTCGTAGTTGGGGTCTGACGGGACCCGCACTCGCTTCCACTCCTCCGTCATGTCCTCGGCATTGAAACTGGGACACTCGGAGGGCCCATGAACCTCTGCAGTGGCTGCCCTCCACGTGTCCGTCGTGAAGTGCTGGAAGAGGCGGCGCCACTCGGAGCGGCGATCTCTGAGCAGGTCCCGCTGGATCGCGGAGATGGCCTTCGAGATCTTGCCGTGTGCCTCTGCGTGCGTCGGCCGGCCTTTCGGGCCAGCTGTCAACCGGCCCCGGAGGGCCGAGTCCACGTACTGGCGCAGGAGAGGGCCAGCGATGAGCTCGTCTGCATGGTCGCGGAGCTGGTGGGCAACGCGGCGACCAAGGCGTTTCAGGCGTACCAGCTCCATCGGCTCGGCGGGCCGCACCGCCGGAGTCGTGGCCACCCTGCGCGAGGTAGGGAGGGATCCCTTGGGGCGTGCAGCGGCCCCGTCTTGTAATACCCACCCCTGGTGGGCAGCTGCCGTCAGTGTCCCCTCGGCCCGGGCGTGCCATCGCTCCCACCTCTCCGGGAGAGGGGCGGCGGCTGGGCAGGCCGGCAGGGTGGCATCCATGTGGCTCTGCAGCTCCTCGGTGTCGCTCGCCAGCAGGAGGGTGCCCGGGTCGAGCGTGAACCGTGTAGTGCGGCGCATTCGCGTAGCCTGCGCCGACGGGGCGGCGACCTGCGCAGAGAAGATCACCAGCCCGCGATGAGGAATGAGCGGGAGGAAGGCGACGCTCTCAAGCCTCAGCTCGATGCCGGCCCCCACGGCTCGCGTAGGAGAGGCCCCTGCTAGGGTCGTAGGCGTAGTTGCGGCGCACAGGGCGGCGTGCGTCGGCAGCGCGTTGACGTAAGAGGGGCGCCAGTTCAGGTCGCCAGCGATGCACCACGGCACCGGCGGAGTACCACGAGCCACGGTGGATGTGAAATTGACGACTTCCCCCATCCAGGGGTCGGAGCGCACTGCAGCGGGCCCATGCCCAGATGTAAAAACTCCCAGCTTGGTACGAATAGCAACTTCACGATGGGAAGCGGCTCGATGAACAGCAACACGCCCAAGAGAAGGGCGCCAGAAAATGGCAGTGCCGCCCTGCTGAACGGCACGCTTGGCGTTCCTGGGTGGAGGCGTGGAGCACACCACGCGCCAACCATACTTGAGCGCGAGCCTGGTGACCCACGCGGGCTTGGCGGAGGCTAGCCGGACCTCCTGAAGACATAAAACATGTGCGTGACGAAGTGCAGGAAACGTAAAGATCTCCTCCAAGCGGTCCGCCCGGAGGCTCGCGACGTTGAGGGTGGCAACCTGCAGCTCCGTCATCCCCTTCTCGCCCCCCCCGCCGCACAGGGGGTCTACGGCGGGTGGGCACATTCAGCGAGCCGCGGCGGGCCGCTTCTTGGCGATCTTCGCCGTGCGGCGCTCCTGGCTCAGGCGCTTTTGGTCGGCGCGGTACCTCGCGAAGCGGATCTTGTCCTTCAGCCGCTTCGTCTTCCGCTGCTCGGGGTCGGCGTAGCGAATCTTGTAGAGCTCCTTCCGCCTGGTAGCGTAGGTCTTGGCAAACCGCTTGCGGCTTGCACTCTCCGCCTGGTGGGCCCTGTTGGCGGCCTCCTCCCCGCGCATCGCCGTGAGCATGGAGAGGCGCGTCATGGTGGCAGGCCGGGCCCTGCATGGGTAGTACCTGAACTGAGTCAGGTGGGTACTTTTGCTGCATGTAGAACACGTGTAGTGGTGCTGGATGCCCCCGCCCTTGAGGACCTTGGAGGACACCGTACGCTCATCGGGGCTGCACACACCCGGCTGGACGCTCGCCGGCAAGGCCGCCTTCCATTTCAAGTGTGCTGCAAAAAGCTTCGCGCGGCGGGCCTCGCGAAAGGCAGGCCGGGCCCAGAAGCTTGCTTGAATGGCGCGGCGGCTGACGCTGCCGGGCTGGTCTTTCAGCCTGGGGGGGGCGGCGCCCTGGCACTCCCGCCAGTGGACGGTGGCCTTGTTGCACTGCCAGGCTGAGGCTTGGCTCCCCGAGAGGTGGGCAGGGGGGGCGGGTGGCGCCCACTGGCCGCAGGGGCACTTGAGATAGTCGCCTTTGGCGTAGGCAACTGGCGTCTCATCGTCTGGGTCGTCGGCGGGGATGCCGAGGATGCTTCGGGCTCCCCTGGAGGAGGCAGCCGCGGGGCGGCGCGCAGGGGCACGGCTGGCGGCTGCCGTGCTTGGAGGGGCGGGAATGCCCAGGATGGACATGGCCTCGGGGTCGAGACGCGGCGCCGGCGCGCGGCTTGAGGCGGCCCTGCTGGATGGGGCCGGAATGCCCAGGATGGACGCGGCGTCGGGATCGAGCGAGCGGCCCTTTCCCTGCAGGCCGCTGGTCGGGTAGCCCAGGGCCTTCTCGCGCCAGCAGTCGAGGGTCTGGCGGTACTCGGTCGTCTCCTGCTGGTCCGGCTTCGGCTGGAGCCACTCGTAGTGGTGGTCCTCCAACTTCAACCACAGCTCTTTCTTCCGTAGCTTCCCTCCGCGCTCCCGGCCGTAGAGCACCCACTGCTCCGCGCCCGGTGCACGGGACCACACGTAGATGTCGACGTTCAGCCGCTTTGCGAGCAGCCGGACGGCCAGGGAGGAGGCAGGCGTTCCTGTAGTGCCGATCTTGTCGGCGTCCGCCGTGGTCGCCTTGAACGTCTTCTTGAGGGCCTCCTCCTGCGCAGCGAGGCGGAGATTGCCCTGGAGCCGGCCGCCGGGCTCGAAGTCGTCGGCGGTCGGGATGCTCTTGGACGGCGTGATGGCGGCCAGGCCCTTTGCGACGGCGATGTACATGCAGTCCCCACCGCCGCCACAGGCTCGGACGTTGAAAAACTTCGTGAAAGGCGGGGCGGACGGGCCAGCCGGGACTGGCTTGCCGTTCTCGCCCTTGGCGTGCTTGTTCGGGGGCGCCGCCTCGTGCGGGGCGGCTCCAGCTTTGCGAGCTCCGCCCGCAGGGTCGCCGTCGGCGGCGGCGGCGGCGGCAGCGGCGCCCGAGGGGGCGTCCGCGGGGGCGGCGGCCCTCTCCTCGGCAGGCGGGGGGGCGACAGCGGCGTCGTACTGGGGCGAAGCCTTGGGAGCTCCCCAGCGTTGGCGGGCCTCCTTGCTGGTCGCCTGGCGGGCGGCCTTGGCGGGGGCGCCGTTCTTCGAGAAAGCCCGAGACACGACGGCTCCGGACTTGAAGGTGTGGACTGTGGCTACGACGCCCGCCGGCGTGTCCCCGAAGAAGGTCCACGCACGGGCGCCTGCTCTGGCTGCGTTGGCGACGTTCTGGAAGCCGCGTTCCGTGGCCCAGGTGGTGAATTCTTGGGCAGTGACCATGTGTGCGGGTGCATTCCGCACATGCCATTTGATGGCATCAGCCTCTCCAGGATGTACCCCAGCGGCGCCAGCGACTCCCAGTTGGGCTTTTCCGTGAGGGCGGTACAACATGTGGCCCTGCCGCTGCTGGGCAAGCTGGTAGACCCGGTCGTAGTACTTGCGGGTGCCTTCCTCGTCCTCCTCGTCGGCCCTCCGGGAGAGCCATCGCGGGGCGATGGGGGCGTCCTGCTGCATGATGAAGGCACCTCTCGGTGGGACTGCTGTCCGGAAATCGGCAGCGTTGGCCTCGGTCGTCGAGACGATGCATGTGACCTCCGCGTCGTAGGCGATGGCACCTCGGGTACGCAGCACGCGCTCCGCGAGGACGTCCCCGAGGACAAGGGCGGGGGTGGTCTGCGGCTCCGCAGAGGCGACGTGGAAGAGGGTCTCGTCGGCGAACTCCGCGGAGATCGTGATCCGAAAATTGACCAGCTTCAGCTTGGTGGCTGGGACGGGCTCGTCGTCCTTCATAGCCGCGTGGAGCCCAGCACACTTCGGCGCGGACTCGCTGAGGTAGGTGATGTTGGCCTTGGCGGAGCGGGGGCCGCGCTGGCCCTCGAGGAGGACCGAGTCGGGGCCGTTGCTGTCCAAGACGACGTAGGTGATGTTCTGGCGGTTCCCGAGGGCCTTCCTCGCGCGCTCGCACTGCTCGTACTCCGCGCGGGTGGCCGCCAGGATCACCATGGGCTCGGTGGACTGCTCCAGGGAGGCCCGGACCGCGCTGGAAGTGACGATCTTGGCCTGTCCCCAGGGGTCCTGAAAAAGACGCGCCCTGACCTGGGGCGGCTCTTTCTCTTGGGGAGCCTCGGGCGCGTCCCGCGCCGAGGGCGATGCTCCCGGAGTGAAGGTCGAGATGACCTCCCGAAGCTTGGAGATGACCTGGGTCTGCGTGACGTTCATGCCGCCGTCCACGACGGACAGCAGGGAGCGCAGCTTGGCGACGATCGGGGTGTCCTCCCTCTGCCGCCTCTGACGCCTAGGGCGCGTGGTGGTGGGCTTTGAAGGCCGCGCCTCGGCACGGCCAGCCTTCGGCGTGGTGCGGGTGCCCATCTGAGCACGCTGCAGCTCAGCGACGGCCGTCGCGAGGGCGATGAGCTGGTCCTGAATCTGGGACTTGTCGGCCCGGACCCGCTGCGAGGTCCTGCTGCCGCCTTTGCCGCCCCCTCCATAGAGCGGGTCCCAAGAGTCATTCGTGTCGAAATCCTCGTACCCGGCCGAGCCCATGGACGGGGAGAGGTTCGTGTCTAAGAACTCGAGCGAATCGAGCGTGAAACTGGACTCGTACTCGGTCAAAACAAAGGCCGACTGGTGCGTCGCCGGCTCCCCAGAGTAAGAATCGATGCATCCAAAACTGCGTAGGTTGAAACCCTCGTTCTCGTCAAGGCCCAGGGACGAGAGGAGGTCCCCCAAAATCTCGATCGGCTCGAGCGTGAAACTGAACTCGTACACGTTCGCATCGGCGGCCAAGCGGTACCCCGGACCCCACGGATAACACTCGAAAAGCTCGTCCGATGACATCCCCATAGAAGAAACAACGCCGTTCTCCCCCTCGATCGTCGCCACTCGGGCGCGTTTGCAGCATGGGGTCGGGTCGGCAGTACGTCGGCTGCTGGCCCGAACCCGTTCGCGGTGCCACCTGGCCCAGCGGAACCGGACCAAGGACACCCCCGCCACCGCCAAGACCACCGGGAAGTAGTCAGGGGGCCGCTGCGTGGTGGCATAATAGTGCTCCAAGTGAGGCCCAATCGATAGGAGCATACGTAAAACACATGGGATTGGAGCCACTCCTGTTGCCTTCTGAGGCCTCGTGCTCCTGGGGCCCCTCGGGGCCTCCTGTTGCCTTCCGAGGCCTCCTGGCACTTCCTGTTGCCTCCTGGGGCCACCTGTGGTTTCCAGAGGCCTTCTGGAGCGTCCTGGGGCCTCCTGGAGCCTCTTGGGACATCCTGTGGCCTCTTGAATCTTTCTGTGGCCTCCTGATGCCTCCTGGGACCTCATGTGGTCTCCTGGGGCCTCCTGGAGCCTGTTGGAGCCTCCTGTGGCATCCTGAAAAGAATCTGCGCCCACGAGCCTGGCCACCAAAACATGCAAACCGATCGAGACATCCTCAAAATCTGGCCCACCTGGGGGGTGAAAATGAGCGCCTCGCTCGAGACATCCTCCAAATCTGCTCCGAAAGCGAAGGATGTTGAGCCCAGAAACAAGCAAACCGCCTGAGACTTCCCCACAAAATGGCCGCGAACGAGCCCGTGCAACACCCCTGGCGGCTCCCCTTAGGGCCACGAGCCTGGCCACCAAAACAAGCAAACCGATCGAGACATCCTCAAAATCTGGCCCACCTGGGGGGTGAAAATGAGCGCCTCGCTCGAGACATCCTCCAAATCTGCTCCGAAAGCGAAGGATGTTGAGCCCAGAAACAAGCAAACCGCCTGAGACATCCCCACAAAATGGCCGCGAACGAGCCCGTGCAACCACCCCTGGCGGCTCCCCTTAGGGCCACGAGCCTGGCCACCAAAACAAGCAAACCGATCGAGACATCCTCAAAATCTGGCCCACCTGGGGGGTGAAAATGAGCGCCTCGCTCGAGACATCCTCCAAATCTGCTCCGAAAGCGAAGGATGTTGGGAGAAACAAGCAAACCGCCTGAGACATCCCCACAAAATTCCGCGAACGGGACCCCGTGAAATACCCCCCCGCCGCCCCCCTTAGAGTGCTGAGACGAGCGAATCGCCTGAGACATCCTCCAAATCTGCTCCGAAAACGAAACATGTTGGATCAGAAAATGGCCAAACCGCCTGAGACATCCCCACAAAATTCCGCGAACGGGACCCCGTGAAATACCCCCCCGCCGCCCCCCTTAGATTGCTGAGACGAGCGAATCGCCTGAGTCTGAGTGATGACTGAGTCTGAGTGATGAGAGAGCATGAGTGAGTCTGAGTGATGAGTGAATCTGAGTGGTGAGTCTGAGTGATGAGTGGTGTGTCTGAGTGAGGACTGAGTCTGAGTGATGAGTGAGTCTTGATGAGTGAGTCTGAGTGATGAGTGAGTGGGGAATCAAAAACCCCACCTTTGGATATGGGGAATCAAGAACCCCATCTTAGGATATGGGGAATAACGTACGTGTGTGTCTGAGTGATGGGTGTGGTGTTCTGTCCTGTTCTGTGTCCTTCCGGCGCGGTCCGCCAATAACAAGAACCCCATCTTTGGATATGGGGAATAACAAGAACCACATCTTAGGATATGGGGTAGAACTTTGAAACCCTTGAAAATTGAAGAAAGTATGCTGCTCTCAATCGTTTTAAGGTTTGGTGCCATATATATATATATATATAACAAAAAAAACGCAACAGGGTCAACCTCCTGGGGGCCCAAGCCATATAAAAAAAGCACGCAGCATTTTCGATACCAGATGTATGAAAATTAAGTGGCTTGTTTGTATGATTTGGGCCCCCGGGAAAAGGGAAACTGCTGTGTTTTAAAATATCGTTGGCACCAAGCTTTGAGAACGATTGAGAGTCGTATAATTTCAGCAATTTCAATGATTTTAATGTTTTTCTTTCTTTTGGGACCTGGGTCACCACCAGCTGGGCTTGCCACAAAAGGGAATAACTTTGTAACCCTCCACAAAAGGAATCCTCTTGTAATCCTCCACAAAAGGAATCCTCTTTTTGACCCGCCACAAAAGGAAACAGCTTGAAATTCACGACAAAAAGGATTCCCTTTGTAATTCGCCCCCAAAAGGAATCAGTTTGTATCGTGCCACAAAAAGAATCAATTTATGATCTGCTACACAAGAAGTAAATCAAGTACCAACAAATAAGAATCAACGAGAACAAACAAATACAAACTAAGTAAACGGCCCAAAACGGAGGTGGTACACACACACACACGCACGCACGCACACACACACACACACATACACACACACGCACGCACGCACACACGCACACACAAACACACAAACACACACAAACACACACACAAACACACACACAAACACACACAAACACACATACACGCAAACACACACACACACAAACGCACACAAACACACACAAACACACACAAACACACGCAAACACACACACACACGCACACACACACACACACACGCACACGCACGCGCACGCACACGCACACGCACACGCACACGCACACGCACACGCACACGCACACGCACACGCACACGCACGCACACGCACGCACACGCACACGCACACGCACACGCACACGCACACGCACACGCACACGCACACGCACACGCACACACACCACACACGCACACACACACACACACACGCACCCACACACACACACGGTTTTATCCTTACGGGGGGAGGGGGGGGACGGGCTCGGAACCTGAAGAGCCTGTGGTGCTGCATCTGAAGCTTGTTCGCATTCGGTCCGTGAGGCCGACGCCGAGTCTCGAGGGCCTCGAAGCAGATCTGAGCGCAGCTTGCCTCGGGGGCGGAGCTCCTGGGTGCAGCCTGAGACTCAGTGCGTTCGAATGGCCTTTGGAGATGTGGTCTCATCCGAACGTGAGGTCTGTGCTCCAAGATACCCGGGGTGTCCATGTGCGCGCCCTGGGAGATGCAGAGCAAGACTTTTGGCGAAATGACCACCATCTGGAAGGGTATTGGTGCGGAGCTCGCGGAAGCGAGGGAGGTGTGCGTCTGGCTTGCTGGTGAAGAAACAGTCGAGTTCGAAAAAATACTTGAGGGTAAGATGGCACCATGTCGCGCGTCGTTTGGAAGGTAGCCTGGAACCGATGTGGTGCAGGTCGTTCTCCCCGACAGAATCGAAAAGGTGTCGAGCGTGCTTGGAGGTGGCCGGGGAAAGCTTCTGTTTGTCATATGCTGGGTTCTGGAGGTCAGCGCCCGCGCGGGGGGTCCAATCTCCTGCGAAGATTGGCGTTGAACTTTGCGGCAATGCTGCGAACTAGTCGGTTGAGGTCTCTGACAAGGGCTGGCGCTCGAGAGGGTATCTGCCATGGGGGCCAGTGCATCTCGTGAACGTCGTATCGGCGTTGGCGATATTGAACGCGTGGGTGGACATGTAGATCGTCAGCTTTGCGAGCTTGAGCGGGCGTCGTAGCTAATCTAGCAAGTTGGGGAGCCAACAAGAAACCGCATCGACCCGCGCCAATGAAGACGAACTCCTCCAAGCGCGCAGTGTGCTCGGGAAGCGCGAGATCGCTCAGACTGACGATGCCCCGCTTCTGCTTGCGTGATATCAGCAGCGAGCCCTGGATCTTAGAACGTGAGCTCGGGCGAGACGGATCTAGAGCTTGGCAATTCCATGTCGCTTGGCGGAGCTGTTGGGTAAGATGGGACGCGTGGCGCGCTCGGTGCCGCCGACGTGTAGGTACACAGGCGCGCGCGCACTTACACTCACACACACACACACGCACACACACGCACTCAAACCCACCCACACACACTCGCACTCACACGCGCGCCCGCGTGCACACACGCATTCAAACAGACGCGCAATGCCACAACGACGCCAAAAACACAAAGGCACACAGACACAACGACACACACACACGCAGGCACAGCCACACAAACACACGAAGACACTAACACGCACAACGCAAACGCGTAACCACACAAACACATAACCACACACACATACACACGCACACACGCACGCAGGCACACACACAAACACACACACACAACACCAACAACAACACAATCGCCCACACACACGCACGCAAGCATACAAACACACACACACACACACGCACACACACGCACGCACGCACACACGCACACACACGCGCCCACCCACATATTCACACGCACCACATGGGGCTCGCCCCCTCGAGCGGCGATGTTATACCGAGACAGCCCGTGGCTCTGAGTCCTTCCGCCCCCTCTCCTACCTGAGGCGGCATGAGCACATGCATTCAACATTGTAACCCGAGGTCATGCCCATGGCCACGGCTGACCACGACTTGAGCGCGGCCCCCCCGAGGATATTTTTTAGCCCCTGACAATCGGCAGCGCCAGTGGCAGCCGCGGCCGCGACGCGCGGGCCCGCGGATGGACGGAGCACTGGAAAGAAAGGAACAGGGAGGGAGAGCGATTGTTCTCATTGCTGCCAGCCTGGGCCCCAAGCGGTCAGCGTGTGCCCTCTGGAAGTGCAAGGGCTGTGCGCGTGGAAGCTGCGCGGTGGTGCAAGCTCTGTGGTGGATGGTGCGTGGCGCACTCTGTGTGGTGCGCGGGTTGCGTAGGTGGAAACTACGCGGCGGTGGCGCAATCTGCGCGGTGCAAGCTACGCGGCGCAACCCATGTGGCCCAGCGTCTGTGGTGGGCGCTGCGTGGCGCTATCCGCGCGGCGCAGCCCGCGCGCGGGGCGCCCGCGAGGCGCCCCCCCGGGCCGACGCGGGCGGCGACCGGGGCGACGCCCATCGCCGCCAACCAGCGCACGAAGCGCCCACGACGCAACCACTGGCTGGGAACGGGCGAAAGACCCTGAACACACAAAGCGACTCGCTCAGAAACCGAGAGAGAGCCCCGAGCAGTGCAAGCACCGCTTGGGGAACAGGGCCAAGGAGAAGCACGATCGACGGGCCGCAGAGTGCTGCGAAGCGCTGGGCCCAGGGTCGCTAGAGTCTGCTCACGCCTGGCCCGCGGCGGCGACGGGGACGGGCAGCGGGGCCTCTGGGGTGATCGCCCCGTCGGACATCGGGAAGACATGCGTGTAGAGCGGGAAGCTCACGTAGACCAACGCGATGAAGGCCGTCATGATGTAGCCGATGTGAATCGCCTTGTTGTGGAAGCGCTTGGGGATCTCGAGCGCAGGCGCCGGGACAGCCTTCTGCCAGCCAAGGCACATGTGCGTGGCGAAGATGGCCACGGCGCTGATGTAGAAGAGGCACCAGCCGAGGGACTGGAAGACCTCGAACTCCATGCGGTAGATGTCGCGGACGCTCGCCTTGACGCAGTCGGCGTCGTGGACCCAGAAGAGATTCAGCCTCAGCTCCAGCAGGGTGGCCACGTTGATGAGGTACGGTGGCGGGCACAGCTCGAACGGCTGCGTGTCGCCGAAGCGGAACTGGAAGAGGTGGATGCTCATGAAGGTCAGCAGCGTGATGCCCGAGATCGCGAGGTTGAGCTTGCCAGAGGCGATGGTGTAGTTGATCGAGATGTCCCAGGTGCGCTTCAGGCCCACCGCCACGTGGAGCAGCGCGGCGAGCAGGATGTACTCCTCCACGATGTTGGCGTTGAAGCCGAAGCCCGTCCAATAGAGGCGGACGTAGAAGTATCCATATCCGTTGAAGTCGTCCGGGCCGAGGAACACGTGCAGGTTGCCGACTGCGTGGATGATGATGAAGATGAACATGAACATCGCGGAGCGCGTCAGGCCAATGCGGTCGTTGGTGAACTGGAAGTTCTTCTGGCCGAAGATCGTGAAGAGGACCTCCTTCATGAAGGCGATGACCATGTAGACCAGCGCCCCGATGGGCCCCGGGACGCGCCCGTACTCGCCCATCCTCTTGTTGCGGTTGTCGTTCGCCAGCTTCCAGTCGCGCGCGCCGTGCTCTCCCGCCGCGGCCGCCGTCGCTGCCGGGGCGCCGGCCGCCGCCGCCGGGGCCGCGCCGCCCCCTGCGCCGAGCACGCCGATGGCGGCGTCGGGGGCGTACTTCGGGATCACGTCCGGAGGGTGGATCATGTTGAACTCCTCGGTGGCGTCCTTCCCGGCGAACGTGAGGATGGCCAGCTCGCCTCCGGGGTGCTGGCTCAGGAACGAGGTCACGTCGAGCACCTCGCCAGCCACGACCACCCAGCAGTCGGTCTTGCTGGTGTGCTTGGCCACCTCCTCCATGGAGTAGCCCTTGACGCCGCCCTTGCCGGCGGGCGCGGCGCCGCCCTTTGCCTTTCCGCCCTCCGCGCCCTTGTTCATACCATCCTCGTACGAGCCGCCCGCGTTCTTGGACGCCGTCACCTCGCCGGTGAGGCCTCCGCCAGAGAGGTCCTTGAGGCTCACGGGCTTGCAGTCCGCGCCCAGCATGTACTTGGTCGCGGCGAGGCCCGCCACGCGGCCGAACACCACGCAGTCCAGCAACGAATTGCCCCCCAGGCGATTATTGCCGTGCACGCCGCCGGCGACCTCGCCGGCCGCGTAGAGCCCCGGGATGGCCTTGCCGTTGGCGCCGACGCAGGCGGAGTCCGTGTCGATCTCGAGGCCGCCCATGCAGTAGTGGATCACTGGCGTGATGATGGCCACGTAGAAGGGCTCGCTCTTCACCGCAGGGCCGTCGATTACGTTGTGGTAGAACTTCTTGCCCGAACCCGTCTTACCGCTGGCCTCGTCCCAAGACTTGCCGCTGGGGTAGGCGGGGAATGAGCCGCCGTCTGGGTCCTTCTCGGTCTTCTTAGCGGCCTCGAAATGCTCCTTGTGAGTCTGCTCCAGCACGGAAACGGGAACGCCCATGTCCTTGGCGAGCGCCTCGCCAGTCTCGTAGAACTTCATGACGCCGCGGCCAGTGTAGTGCTTGCAGTGCCACGCGATCTCAGCGGACGCAGCCTTGTTCAAGCAGAGCCGGAAGGGCGGCTTGTTCTTCCACATCTCGCCCGTGACGTAGTCGCGGCGTCCCAGCTCGTTCGCGAAGCGCTTGCCGTTCGCATCCAGCACCAGACCGCCGACGCCACGGAGCGCCTCGGCAGCCAGGAACTTGATCTTGGCGTCGGGGTCGTCGGGCTTCACCAGGCCAGTGGGGTGCACCTGCACCCACTCAAGATCGATAGACTTGGCCCCGATCGCCTCGCCCATCTTGATGCCGTCGCCGGTGCAATGCTCGCCGTTGGTGGTCGGCAGGTGCATCAGGTCGGGACGGTACTGAGCCAGGAGGGAGTTGCTGGTGAAGTCCGCACCGAAGCCGCCGGTGGCGAGGATGACCGGCCCCATCTCGGAGAAAACCTGGCCTCCCTTCTCGTAGCTGCAGCCCACGCAGGAACTGCCGCTTGTGAGCAGCTTGGTGACCCTGGCCTTGGTGATGATGCGCGCCTTATCCGTTTTCTCGGCGACCTTCTCGACCATCTGGATCAGGGCGTAGGTGATGGTCATCCCCGGGAAGCGCTCTGCTCCTCGGTGGGTTCGCGGCGCAGAGTGGCCGCCTAGGCGGGCGACCAGGGACAGGTCGAGGTTGAATTTCTCCACCAGCCAGTCGACATCGGCCCCACTGTTGCCGCACAGGACCTTGACCAGCTCGGGCTTCTTGGCGCCACCCTTGAGGGTGTCGTTTGTGAACAGAGTGATGGTGTCATTGATGCCCTTGTCCTTCTGCGTCTTCGTCTCCGCGCCGTTGATGCCGCTGGTGGCCTTGGTGGAGTTGCCCCCGCAGAAGGATGACTTGTCGAGCAACACGACCTTGCCATTGTTCTCCAACACCGTGTTGGCCGCAGACATGCCGCCCAAGCCTCCGCCAACAACGATGGCCTGTCCAGTCGGGAAAACACAAGCCATGATTCGCGGAACCGACCCTCGAAGGGGCTGTAGACTGTAGACAAAAATGCGGGTGCAACCCGTACAAAATTCGCTGCAGACCCTTGCCAATGTTGCAAAACGGGCTTGACCCAAAATCATAATGCGAGGAAGAGGGGGAGCACGCGAAAGTAGAAATCTGACCAGAGGCGCAGTCATTCCAGGGGGCGGGGAAAGGTGAACCGAGGAGGAGGATCACCAACATGTTCGCAAGACCCTAACCAGTGCGTTTTTAATGACATATATGGTGCTGTCGTGGAGCAACCTAGGTGGTGCAAACTAGATTGCAATCTACGCGGAGCAATCTATGTGGTGCACTCTACGTGGTGCAGTTAACCACTTCGACTGTCTTGAAGCTGTCCTCTCCACTGCTCGTGCAAACATCCCACCCTCCCACCCGCAACTAGGTCGCAAGACATCTTCAGACAAGACCGTGACGGTAGGTACTGCGTGGCACTTGGCCACGACACCGATGCCGACGACGACAGCGACATCGACGACGACGGCGCCGCCGAAAGCGACTGCGACGACACCGGCGACGTCTCCAATGTTTTCGACGACGACAACGACGACGACGACGACACCGACGACGACGACAACGACGCCGACGCCGACGACGAAGACGACGACGACGTCGCCAACGGAGACGACGACGAGGGAGGAGAAAAAACAACGACGACGAAGACAACGAGGGAGGAAGGACGACCACGGCGACAACGACGACGGAAACGACGACGACGCCAAAGACGACGAGGAAAGACAGAAGACGACGACGGCGACGACGACGACGACGACGACGAGGGAGGAGGGAGGACGACGACGACGACGACGCAAGAGCGCGCGCGCACAATTTTGTTGAAAACCCGTGTTGCGAAACCTTGTGTTTTTGTAGGTTTTTTGGACGCACGATTTCGAAATTCTTCTGAAACCGAAGGTTTTTGAAGGATTTCGGCATACGCCCGCGACGACGCGCGCGTCTGCACTTCGTCCTATTTTTTGCAGAGGATTCTCGCGACGGCACACGCGCAAGAGCGTTCGACAGATTTCGACATGCGCGCGCGCGCGAAGCCCGTTTGGTAGCATTTTGCGAAAATCTTGGAAAACCTTTGGTTTTCGTAAGATTTCGCAAGAGCTCGCGCAACAGTTTTTTTGTTTTTTGAAGCAGTGTTGCGAAACCATGTGTTTTTGTATGTTTTTTGGAAATTCCATTTTGAAATCTTTCCGGAACCGATGGGTTTTGAAGGAGTTCGGCGTACGCGCGCGACGACGCGCGCGTCTGCACTTCGTCCCTTTTTTGCAAGGGATTCGTGAAACAGTGCTATGTTAGAACAAAACATGTCACCGCATAGTGTTTTTTACAAAGGAACCGCAGGGGGGGGGAACCCGGCCTGGCTGGGATGGTATGAATTCACATTTAGGATGGACATGTGGTCAGAATCATATGTAAT